ATCAGAAAGAGGAGAGACACTCTTTGCCTTCCTGTTGCTGCTAACATAATTGTTACAGATCATCTCCATTCGAATGCGGGTGCAGGTGTTTGGTTTTTTTCTTTGCTTTGGGACCGAGTACCTTTATCTTTGTCAGATGACGGTGTCAATTTGGCTTCAAAGCCGGTCAATGCTAAAAACAGCCGTTTGTACATTTTTCCCTTGATAAAAGTGGAGTGGATGCATTTGATCAAATCTCTGTTGCATTTAAATTTCTATGGGGAGGAGAAAAAAAAGTCATCTTATGTTGACTAATGTGTTAATTAAAAAAGCACCCCAAACCAAATACATTATAATACAAAAACATCCACAAAATTTACATTCTTGCATATGGAAATGTGTGCATTAGAAAGGTGATAGAAGATACAGTTCATGTAATGCATATAATTACATATTCTGTCTTCATTCTGTGGTTTCACATTACTATACTGCCCGAAGCTGGCACTTTTCAATCCATGAAATCCACAGACTGTATATTAAATATAGACATCCTTAAACCCCAGACTCTAGCTTGATCATCCATGCTATCAGAAGTAACCAAGTATGCTAAGCTAACATCGAACTCCAGTAATGATAGTTACCAAGCTTGTTCCATAGACTCCGTGTGTGCATCAAATACCTGCTGAAGTAATGTGAAAATAAAACATTGTGAATATTATTCCTAAGAGGATATCTTTACAAACTAGTACAGAAAGAACCAACATCACAAACAGGTTATTGCAGTAAGTAAATAAGTAAGCTATAGCAAAATTAAAAACCTGTTTATTTCTGCTGTGAAGTTTGTTTTGGAGCATGGACGATGAAAAAAGATGGATTTAGCTTCTGCGCTGAAACTATGAAGCCAATTCTGAAGTGACTTAAATCTGCTTTCTATCTCAAGGCCACCAGATGGCGATAGCTGTGGTTAGCCTATTAGCCCCTTTCCACCAGTACTTGTTCGGCTCTATCCGACTAAGTTTTTAGGTTTTTTGATTAGGTGGTAGTACCTGCACCATTAAAAAATTTTAGTACCAGTTCAGGCGGTATGACACCAACAGACAGCAAGCCACCAACTGGCAAGTCACTGCCGTCACTCAGTGAGTGAAATGGCAACGAGACAATGGCAACACAAAAATCAGCACCCAGGTCTCAGAGCCTGATAAAAAGCCATACTTAGATATACCATCGCCTCGACATCCTCCGTTTTGGTGTTGTGTTCGTGTCACATAGATATGACCTCACAGGGTTTTCGGCCGTGTTGTTATAGCAACCTGATGCACATTAGGTGGCACTCAATTGTAATGGAAAAAGAGAGAAACCCAGTAGAGTTGAGTCAAAGCCCGCCGAGTTGCACTATGTACAACTGGAAAACAGCTACATGTGAAAAGGCCTCTGTAAACACTTTCCTGCTGAGTTATGGTCTCACTAACTCAATATGAATTATATTGAATTATAAAATTAAATCTATTTTGTTACTTCTGGTCGCACAATGTTTCAAACTGGAACCTTATCAGTGATATGAAACCGTCGTTATCCAATGAGTGTGCGGTTACACGTTCAGACCCGCTGCTCCCCATCAGCCTTCAAAACCAAAGGGTGATGTCATCATGCTACACATTATCAAGTCACTTTAACCCGTGGGTTATTGATGGGGTCAGTTATGTAGCAGAGGGGATTGTTAATCAGTTTTAGCTACTTTGGTATTAATGAAATTAACAACTGTTGCACTAGAGGGGTAACAATGAGACAATCAACAAAGCAGGAATGCTTTTACAGCTGGAGGCCACGGACATTTTATCTGACTGGATTTACATTATTTTAGCATTTGGCTAAGATCAGTGTCATTGCTGGTAGCACGAGGCGATACCTGGACCCTACAGAGGTTGCACAGGTAGTCCACCTCCTCCAGGGTGGCACATCAATATGTGACATTGGCAGGTTTGCTGAGTCTCCCAGTACAGTCTCAAGATCATGGAAGCGATTCAAGGGGACAGGCAGTTACTCTAGGAGAGCTGGACAGGGCCGTAGAAGGTCCGTAATCCAACAGCAGGACCAGTAACTGCTCCTTTGTCCAAGGATGGACAAGATGAGCACTGCCAGAAGTAGAGCCCTACAGAATGACCTCCATCAGGCCAATGGTGTGAATGTGTCTGACCAAACAATATGAAAAACGGGCTTCACGAGGGTGGCATGAGACCCCGACGTCCTCTGGTGGACCTGTGCTCCCTGCAGAATTGGCAGGTCCATCACTGGTGCCCTGTACTTTTCACAGATGAGAGTTTGGTGGTGGGTTGGTGATGGTCTGTGGTTGCTTGTCCATGGAGTGCTGCACTGCCCTCTATAGACTAGGCAACAGCACCCTGACTGCCATTAGTTATCTGGATGAAATCCTTGTGCTTGTTGTCAGACCCTACGCTGGTGCAGTGGGTCCTAGTGCATGACAATTCCCGGCCTCATGTGGGGAGAGTATGCAGGCAGTTTCTGGACCCCACACTCGCCTGACCTAAATCCACCAAAACACCTCCGGGATGTTATGTTTTGGTCCAACACCACAAAGTTTCTCCTCAGACAGTCCAGGAGCTCATTGATGCCCTGGTCCAGATCTGGGAGGAGATCCCCGAGGACACCATCTGTTGTCTCATTAAGAGCATCCCCGACGCTATCAGCCATGCATACAAGTATGCAGGGACCATACAAACTACAAAGTACCATTTTAAGTTGCTGCAAATTAATTTTCTGTCAAATGGACAAGCCTGCTGCACTATTTTTCCACTTTGATTTTCAGGGATCTTTGAATTCAGCCCTCTGTAAGGTCCTGTCACTCCTAACACATTATCCAGTCCGTATCAGTCCAGATATCCAGCATATTTTTTCCTCATTGAGATCTGGTGTATATTAAAAGCTTTTTTTTTTAGCTTTTTATTCATGAGAAAAATGTCATGACAGTAAAACCACAAAGGCCTGGCACGATTGGTTAAGAGTGTAACACATTAAACTGTAGTTACTTCACAGTTCACAGCTCGGTTCACCACAGAGCAGCAGTAACATAAAAACCTGGAGTAATGGCTACATCCAGCAAGATATATTTACACGATAGCTAAAATAACCGCACACAGCAGACTGATTGTTCCTCGACATGGCATGAAAACAGTTTGTACACAGAAAGCAGACTGAGTCATTTATAGTTATGTGGTACTACAACATGCAGATGCATCCACTAAAGCTCCACGGCACCTTCATCTGTTCCACAACCAGAATAGCCAGGGTTTCCGCTCTCCAATTACACAACATTACTTCATCTTTTGGCCTCTTTCTATCCCACTCACAAAAAATAATAAAAAATCCCATCTCCATAGCAACAAACTCTCATCCATAGTTCACAAAAATAATTGTTTGCTCCCTCATCAAACAGTTGTTCCGTGGAAGCTGTTAAATTTTGAGAACTTGTGCGTCTGTGCCCACCTTTGGTATATTTAACATAAAAGCCCAAGGCCTCTGACTTTTCTATTTATGTCCTTTTTTGTGCTTCTGCCTCTATACGCTGCCGCAGAGGCTGAGGTGGAAGATAGTTGACTGCGCCGGTCCAGACGGTCTTAAAAGCAGGACTGTTCATTATTCACATGTCCTTGGGTTGAGTGGATGCATGTCTGTATTGCTTGTTATTGGTCAGCTTGGCTCTGATGCTATCACATAAAGGCACAGATGCTGGAAAAAACGCACTTAAATAGAAAAGATGTCAATGTTTCTCCTGCTTGTTGCCCCAGAAAGACAAAAGAACTTGTCGCCTGGTGATGCGATGATGACACCATGGAAATGTTTACCTGTTACAAAGGTGGTAAAGAACACACTAAACTAGCTTAGTCTACTGAAATCAGCAAGAGCACATTCGACTAATTTAAGTTTATTAAACCGCACATATTTAACAGATTTAAATGTCTTTTGTTCATATTTATGTTGCAGTATAGGAATTTCTTTCAACCCACAGGATAGCAGGAATCATGCTGGAAAAAAGGAGAGTAAATTCAGGATTGACCTGATTCTACGCTCCCTCTTATCTCCCTTAAAATGTCAAGTACCTGAATGCGCTGATCAGGCCATGAAAGTACTTATATATATTATGTCCTTGAGTCCCAGAGATTAGAATTTCCATTTCAGGCAGAAAGCCTCTAGAAAAACCAAACATCACATGCTGAGTGAAGAAAACTGGAAAGGTTACTGAGCCTTATCTGCAATTATGCAAAAACAGAGAGATTGGCCAAACCCATGTTCATTGCTACAAAGGGAATCTACAATGCCTTGATGTTGCATTCTCGTCTCGTAGTGCAGATATGTAGCACGCAGCACATCCTAGAGGAGGCTATAGGCAAGAACAGCTGACTGTACACTACTCACACCTAGTCATGTTTTGAATTATGAACACAGGCAATTAAACTTTAAATCCCCCCTTAGTAAGAAGATAGAGCCGACTAATTAAGTAAGTCCTTTTTAAATTTGGTTTTAATTCAGAGCTCCTCGAATGCCAAGCCGGCGTAGAGGATCAGATCAAAACAAGCTTGGTTTACTTTCATTCAAAGCTTTGCATTTTTGTTTGTGTTACATTCAAGTACCTAGTTTATTCCAGCATTAGAAGGGAAAAAAACAACAAATCTGAAAATCTTTTCTCTGTCTGACCTTCTTCTATCAGCAGCACTGACATGGAGCTTCTCAGATGTTGACAACTCCACTACTGGACTCATTGTGTCATCTGTTCTCAGTCTCTCTCTTTTTTTCCAAAGGAAGAAAGACAAGAAACAAAGCTTTGCTACAAAGGTCACTCGGAAAAACCTGCTTCTTTCTCTCATTTATTTATTTTTTTCCAACAAACACCGGGGGAATAAAAATAGTTTGGTTTAAAAATAATGGCTTTCATCTTCATTTATGCCTCTGAATATTCAATATGAGAGCAATGGTGCCCCCTTGTGTAAAATATAATTAACAGTCTGATAGTAAATATGCACCTAAGGTCAATTATAATTGAATCTGATAGCACAGCTTAGAAACGAACAGTGTTATTTAACCGTGAAAGAGTGTGATCACCTTTACAGCAGCTTCTGAGGTCCAGCATGTGTTTTGAACATTTTTTATTCCACATTCATACATTTCCCTCTGCAGTAAACCTGTATTGATTCTCTCAGAGGTGAAGGGCGCTCCCTCTGTCCGTCTTTAGCCTCTCCTGCTCTTCAGATGGACTGCAGCTCTATCCTCCGCTGTCAGAGCTCTGTGCACTCTGCACCGCTTGCGGCTCAGTCAGGCGGTCGTAGGACAGCGCTGTCATAACCTGCGAAAATGTACAGTGTGATATGGCTTTGGAGAATAGAGAGAACCAAGTAATAAGTAGAGGCTATCAAAGACATGCTGAGTTAAAGATTTTACTGGCTAGAACAGCCTGTGGCTACTGTTTTTCCGCACTGGATTGGTGAAAAAATGTTTTTTTAAGCAGCAGCTTCGGCTAGTTTCAAACAGGGAAGGTAGATGAAGGACAGAAAACGGAGCTCTTTCTCTCCTGACATTAAAATTAAAACAACCATTAAAGATTTTATAAGCGTTAAATGATCAGTCTGAAGCCACACTCGTGTCTATGCTAAATGTGAAGCTACAGCTAACCACATAGCTTAACTTAGTTTAGCATGCAGAATAAACATAAATTCAAAAGAACAATTGGGAATTTTATCACCAAATTCCTTTTTTTTAAAACAACAGAATGTAACATGTTATATTCCAGTGAGCTTTCCCACCTGCTAGTTTGTAGCGTCTGTTTTCAGTCTTAACGCTATGTGAAGCTAAAGTAAGCTAAAGTAAGCTATCCTTTAGCAGAAGGCGGTTTTCTTAAAGCCACACTGTCAGTCTGCCTAATGACAAAGACTATATTAGAGAGACACACTACCCAAACAATCACGAAATGAACTATGGGATAATCCAAAGCACAGATGGCTGTATTAAATATAAGTTTAAAGGGGAGAAAGGCGTTTTAAACCGTATTTGGGGCTTTTAACAGATTATGCAGTATATATATAATCTAGGGGAAACTAAAAGGAACATTTTTGGTTCAGTCACACTATAGCAAAAATTGAGCAGCAACCTTCTTGCAACTAGGAAAAATTGGTGATTGCAGGGTTTATGCGCTGATGTTGTTTGTTGTGTTTTGTCTTTCCCCCCTCTCACCTTCAATCGGTCGTGGCAGATGGCTGCCCTTCACTAAGCCCGTTTCTGCCGGAGGTTTCTTCCTGTTAAAAGGGAGTTTTTCCTTCCCACTGTGACCAAAGCACTTGCTCATAAGGGGTCTTCTGATTGTTGTTTTTTTTCTGTATTCTATGTATTATTTTAGGACCTTTATCTTTACCAAGGGCTTAAAATCTGAGACTGTCCGCCAATTGCTCTTAGAACTGAAGAAGCTTCTCGGAGGAGAGATGAAACGTCTTCAAGAAACCTAAAGAAGTCCAGACGCTTTTTTTTTAAAGCTCCTTAGACTATGATGACCTGGATGACTGAGAACCTTCACAGACATAGGTCTTAACCTTAGAATAAAAAGTGCGTGGAGGCAACTGTTGTTGTGATTTGGTGCTATATAAAAAGAACTGAGCTGAACAGAAACGTTTGTGGCGCGCACTTTTAATACTAAGGCAACTGCCCAGGTGGATGATCATGGTCCCCCTCAGACTGACTGCAATCACTCTCAGATACCTTGTAGAGGTTACCAGCTCACTGCAATCAATCAATTATTCTGCACCAAAGAGTGCAACCTGTCTGCAATAGGTCTCCTTGCAACAGGACTTCACTCAAGTGATTGTAAAACAAAATTAATTCTCTATTTAAGCAAGATTGCTGAACGCCTATGTCATTTTGCAGTTAAATCGCTGTCCTGCGGCAGCTACATCACTACTTCTGGAGAAATTTCAGGTCTGGATCTATGAGGTAAACATGACGCTACAAGCTATAGCTTAGCTTAGCACTCTATAAAGAATAAAAATTTGAACAACACAAAACTTTCCAGTTTCTCTTTGGTATCATTTAAATAACTGTATATGGCATGTCTTATCCCGTTGGTTTATCAGTGATAGTAGATATGTGTTAGTACCACATAATAGATTACGTGCTAAGCCAAGCTAAGCTAAACACCTGACAGAACACAGCCACATAGCCAGTCTGTGTAACATTACACTATTACTGAGCGCCTTGTTCTACTTACTGTGATCATAAGGAGTAGTGCCAGCATCATGCCCAACATTATGTACAAATTATTAGTCAATCCTCCAGCCCACAAGGGACCCAAGATTGTGGCCAGGCCCCCAACTGAGCGTCTGACACCTTGGCTGAATCCTTTTGGTGAGGGATCACAAAATATTAGGTTATTTACTTCAGATATAAACATAACAATATGGCTTTAAAGTTCGCTACGTGTAATTTTTTTTTCTATGCATCACATGCGCTGAGCAACAATCTGTTGTTTTAATGTGTTGAGCCAGCACACGGTGCCAAGGTAATATGAGCCAACCTTGTGTTTTCTCAGCAGTGACTTTGGAGAAGAGAGACACCTGAGACACGGCCACAAAGGGAAGCCCCAGCAGCTGCAGAAACACTCCGATGATGAAGGCCGACAGCTCCCATCCATAACCACCTGGCAGGGGTGGGAAGATGATATCACAGGATTGCTAAATTAAAGTAGTTTATCACAGAGTAAATGGAATACATAATTCAGCAATTACCTTTAGCGCAATCCAACATAAACCCTCGCATACCTATATTTGATAGACCTAGTGGCCAATAAATATGACAGTTCTGAAGCTTCTTATTTCTCATGTGGCGTCACGATCATTCAAAGAGTGTGGCAGATCATGCTTCGGTTGCCCAGCTCGTCAGTCCGTCGGTTTTTAAGTTTCTCCCACAAATGGGCTGGCAACACCAGAGACGGCTCAATCCGAAAAACGAAACCCCCGCCAAGCTGGCAGCCACTCGATTTTTGTTCTCTGCTGCTTTGCATCATGCACATGCCTGTATGAATTTGTGCCGACTCGAATTGTTGGAAGTTCCTGCATGAGCTGAAAGTCTATGATTTTACGATCAAATTACAGTTTCACCAATCAAACATGCCTCTCGGTGGCCCCAAAGGATAAAATAGTTTTTCTTTAGGTGTCTTTCTTTCGGGTTTTATGTCTTTGTTCGGTTGCTTTAACTACAACGGTTAACAAATGGCAAACAAATGACAGCCACGCTTTAACAAATAGCATTTTTGCTAAATTCGATTACTCTAATCCTTTTATATGTACTCAGGCACTACCCAGCTCCAGCACCTGTCACTTGTAATCAGAGCGATAAACGTGACGAGCTGCAACAGACGCAGGCCAACATTAACATACAGGATCCGGTTTGCCTCTATGGTATCCTGCTGAATGATATCATTTACAGAGCACACTCAGTTCAGCCAGTGTGTAACCCAATATGGCTCTGCTGTGCTCTACACACCGACACTGGTGGCACAGAAAGGATTTGGCTCAGAAAAAGAGGCATTTTTGTGTCTGTGTGTGTGGGTGTGGTTTTTCACAGGCAGGTTAGCACCTCGGGGGTTGCAGAGGAAGATGAGGCACCAGATACAGGCGGTGCAGCAGATGACCAGGCCCGCTGCCAGCACGGCGCGGTCCGCCACCTTCCTGCTCAGCCAGCGTACAAAGAAGAAGCCCACGATGACCTCCACCCCGCACAGGCTGTACATGAGGCTGTTGCCCAGCTCGCCAAAGTTGAAGTGGCGCTGTGTAAGAGGGGTCACCATGGTCTGTGAATTTTTAGAAAGACACCAGTCGTTTAGGCAAAGCGGTCCATTCAGAGGTAAAGAAAAGTAACCAGAGTATCCAGTTAGGTCAGTTTAATGAGAGGTGAGAATGGATCTTTACACAGAGGCTGATTATGTGCTTCAGCATTTAACTGATTATTTTCCCAAAAGTTTAGGTCTTAGAAGACTCCGTGTTATTCACTCTGGATGGTAAACTGTGTGACATAGTGTGAAATGTTTGGAATCGCTGCCTGATGGATCTCGATGGTCGCTGCTCTCACCTCCAGCGCCGTCTGATTGAAGAGAGTGATGAACTGAGCCGTGAGGACAACAACTACCTCTTCTCTCAGGAACTCTGCGCAGAGAAGGACAGAGAGAGAGATACCAGAAGAAATAAAATAGGGAAGTCAGGGAGAAAAATCCCCAAAAATCTTCAACTGCTAGCTTCAAATCGAAAGTTTCAACTGGCAAGCTAATTCGAGATCAAGAAGTTTTAAGAGAAAAGAAAAGTTGGACGATCTCAAAGCGGTTGTAAGATTGAAGGAGGCGTGACAAATCCTGGCCGCCTGGTCGTGTTGATCATGTCGTCCAAGACGCTCTATATCTATTTCTTTTGATGGAGAGAAGTATGGATTCTGATATTTATCTTATATCCAAAACATGATTACACAGGAAAAAGGGGGGGAAGCTTTCAATAAATTCCAAATTTTGATATCAGCTTTTCCTGGAACAAATTCCTCCTTATGGGCTTGGAGAGGAGGAAAACGAGCTGGGCTTGCTGCTAAATTTGGATGCCAGATGGCTGGAGAATCGGCTTGATACTACACTGTGTGATCCACTACAGTTCAGTTCTCTGTGTTCAGCGTTTGCACTGCTATTGACATGGTTTGATTATTTTATGTCACTGGATGTGTATGTGTGCAGGTAAATACCTGATGTGGCTTTAAAATGATTTATTGTACCTCAGAAAGTTCTGAGACAGATTTTTTCCCAAGATTTCCCAGCTTTTATTCCAAAGTCTGAGTCTACAGATTGATTATTATACTCAAAAATGCTTAATAATGGACAAAAAAAGTTACAAAGTGGTTGCTAGGGTTGCCAGGTCTTTGGTATTAAAGCAAAGGGCAACCACTGGAGCTGAAAATTGCCTTGCTCTAAAAGAAAGTCAATCCTAACGTTAAAATATCCAGACAGTAGAAAGCATCGTTAAAGAACGAAAAATAGTTTCTGTGCATTTTTTCACTTATTACAAAATCTCTGAGCAGAGATACTAGAAGCTGGGGGCGCGGCCAATTTGACCAACAGGCGTCCAGACACAAGCAACTGTAAGCAGTTTGGGTCTTCTAGGTATCACCTCTGCTAATTCAAGTCACTCTTACCTCCATGCTTGTGCTGTTGGTGCCTTTTATGACAATTTTAATTGGCTAATATGATGTGTTTCTGCGTGGTACAAACTCTCCCAGAAGTTTGTGTTTCTGGTTTGGTGAGTGAAAGTCTAATATTTGATTATTATCTTTGTTAACACTAATTAGCTGATTTGTGCGTCTGTTCATTGATCCTATGAAGTTTATTGAAGCAGACTGGTAACCAAACCTGCTAGAGTGAGCTGAAAACCTGATTGGTGACAAATGGTGACAGCAAAAACATCAAAGCATCAATTCAAGCGGCAAACGACTCGGAAACTAGTTTTTATCCCATCTATGGATAAAAGCAGCTAAGTGGCCAATCCAAATTAGCCCAAGATTTATTTAAACCTTTTTTAAAAATCCAGGTGGCCACTTTGATGCTTTTCCTTTGGACCCTAAAGACATGCTCTTGCTCAGCCGGTACATTTTACATTTGATGCTGCACAGAAAATGAGTAATAAAATGATCTATGAGGAAAATGCTTTGACCTAAAGATGGTTTTCTGGTGATGCCACAAGTAGACAAAGCAAAACAGCAAGTTCCACCGTTTTATTCATTGTATAGCTTAGCTTAGGAAAAAGACTAGCTAGCATGGCATTAAAATTAGCTTACCAGTACTTCTAAACATTTCATCACTCGTGAGAGGCGGGACCCAAACCTGAAGAGATCAACCCAAAATTCAACCCTAAAACTAATCATACTTTCTTGATCTAATTGGAAAAACTAATTTTATTATACGTGTATATATATATATATAGATATAGATATAGATATAGATAGATAGATATAGATATAGATATATACATGTTAAACAAATGAAGACATTCACTCCTGCATCTGTACTTTTTGCTCAGTATGAAAGTGGAATCTAACTCTTGATTACAAAATATCTCTTAAGTATGTTTCAGATAATACATCTTTGAATGTTTCAGTCTTTTCAAGGGAGAAGAACTAGAGTGTGAAACAGAGCAGGCTACAAACCCGCAGTGCCGTGTACGCATGTGGAAAATCTGATCCAGTTCAGATACAACACAAGTACATGGAATAAAAAAGGAAGTTGTGTAGTTTTCCTTGTTCCAAAAGCAAAGATTCACACAGATTTTACTGGTGCTGTTATGCTTTTTTCTTTCCACCACACGTACCAGAAAAATCAAGATTTGATGAAAGAAAGTGAAAGATCTGCCCAGATTTTCAAAGCTTCTCCACTGATACACAAAAAGTCAGAAAAGATCAATAATTCAAGAGAGCGAATACCAGACACGCTGTAAGGGCTAACAGACACTCCTACTGCATGTGCCAGAGAAAACATCCTCCGCTCCTGCTGCGTTTCTGGTGTTGTAGCTTCTCTTCGTACAAAAAGGAATCAATAAGAGGAATGTTGGCCACATTACCAATTCTGTCTCCATTTCATCCACAAGTCAACCACAGCAAGTCAGTCAATAAAAAAGGAAGTCTTCCATCCTTCCCTCTGCCACGTCTTCAAAGAGTGAGAGAATCAATACAGCACACACACACAAACACACGCACAGTTGTGTCTTTAGAGGACACAACACCAACTCGCATTTCCTGGAGAGTTACTTCAGTCTTAAACGCAACTCTGACCCCAACACTCACCTCGACCGTAAGCTTTAAACACGTCTGCAGCTTAAATTTAACGACGTCCCCAAAAGAAAAATAAATCCCCAGAATGTGAGTGCGTAAATCTACGATCAAAGCTTTAGGTCCTCACAACATGATTAAGACAAATGAGTAAGTACTCAGCCCACTCACTCCCAAGACACACACACATGCACACACACAGTCAAAGAAAGTACAGAAAGGATATTGAGTAGCGGCAAACAATCGCAATCGCCATGTAAACGTACTATGACACTAATCCAATAGTGCACCTGACATCATGTATATACATGCTCTGACATAAACCAGACATGTACACGCAAGTCCAATCAATACACTGGGAATCTGATCTGACATGCTGCAGAAAATTCCTCTGAGAGACCTGGAGAATGGAAAGTGTGTGCGAGACTGAGTGAGCAAATGCAAGCAAAATCAATAGAGCAGATATGAAACATGTGCATTGGCAGTGACACCTCTTCCTACCTGAACGCTGCAAAATGGGGCAGAGGAAAGCTGACTGTAATTGCTCGAGGCAGGCAGTCAAACCTGCCGGCTCACCTCTGCTGGCGCTGAAGTTTCGGAAGGGGTTCGAAGCTCTGTGGATGGGTTGCATGTCAGACGAGGTGGAGGTCTCCAGTTGGTCGGAGTTGAGGGCTCTGTAGGTGTGCACCGGCTCCTCGTCAGACCCCATCAGCGGCACCTCTTCCTCTACCTCCTCCTGTTTCATCTCCATCATCGTGGCTCCCCCCTCGCAGCTAATGGGTGGTACATCCCAGTACATAGCCAGGACGACAAACTGGAGCAGCACCCACAACAGGCACATGAAGATCTGACAGCATGGAGGAAAAGCACACATGTCTTCAAAGATCTTACAGTTTAAACACACAAAAAAAGATATTTTCACAGGACCAGAATCCCTGGAAGCTTTCAGGAGAGATAAAGTAGTTCAGCTATGGAAGCGCTGCCTGGCAGAGTGAAATCTAGAGAGGGATTCTGGGTCATATTATGCGGAAAAAAATGGAAGCAGGCATATAAGAGCTTTGTTAAGTCTCATTTAAGCTTCATCCGCGCTACAGGTGTTTTATTCAGGCACACTTAGATAGAAACAGATCGATACAGGTTGTTACGGGACCGAGTACCGCTGCAGGTGTTTTGTATTCCTCTTACTCAGAGGAGAACAAAGGAGGAAAAATATATATGTGAGCACAGAATGTAGAGCGACTATTTCTGAAGGTTATTTCTGTATTCATGAGCCTTTCACAGAACCTTAGATTACTGATTATCTGGATGCTGTTACCCCAGGAGACGTATACTTGTTCACAACAAAGGGCCCCAGTTTGAAATCACACAGCCGCAGGAACAGGTTGAACGCCGGCCCTGTAGAGACAGGAGGAAGTGCTTTAAAGATGAGATAAATGGAAGATGTGTGGAAACAGTAGCCTGCTCCTTAGTGATTTTATTGAATGTTTTTTTCTGCTCACAGTTGAAATGAAACATCAAAAAAGAAAAAAGGAAAAAAAAAAGGGATCACGAAATCCTTCCCGCTGTCTGATATTTCCTCACAAGGCAGAGGGGGTGGTGAGAGGTGAAATAACACCTATTTCTCTGTGGATAAGTGGAACGGGTAGAAACTGACCGACAAGAAGACCGGCTTGTCGACCAGCCATGATGGCGGCAAATATTCCAGCTCGCTCCTCCGGCTGAGTGCTTTGAGTCAAAAAGCCAAAGATGGAGGACCCGGCTCCTGCTCCGACACCTTAAACATATCAAACTATGATATATTACATGCATTGAGTGTTAACTGTTTTACGTAATGCATGCGTGCATGTGTGTGCATGTGTCACCTGCTACAATCCGACTGCATAACAAAAGCCACTTTGAGTATCCAATGAAATACATGAAGTTACCTGAGAAGAAATAAAAAAATAAAAAATTGTTGTGAAATGCATCTTCATCTGAGGCAAGATCTTTGTTTAAATGTTTCCAAAAAAGTACTGGCTTCATCCTGTAACAATTCCATTAACTTCTATACTATTCTATACTTTGGCTAGTTGGCTAATGTTAGCATGCTAACATGCCAACCAATGACTGTATAAAAAAAGTTTTATTTTACTAAAAAGGTCTACAGTCATTGATTCCAACACATTCGGTGACAATAGAAAAACACTGTATCTAGTAAAGTGCACATTAAAAATAATAGACGATCGTGTGGTACTGCTAATGTTTTAGTTAGTTGATTTTAGCTGATAGTAGCTAGGTTTTAGCTAGTATTTACTAATATTTAGCTACTATTTAGAATATACTGTTAGTCTAATAGCATTCAGGTGATTTTGTTGTTTGGTTGACAACATAAATTTCTTTACAATGACTCACATCATCACTATAATGCTTTGCTTAAAGAACAAATTCATAGTTCTTTTAGAAATTCCCATAATCCATTGTGTGCATCCTATAGATAAAAATTTGTATCGAGGAGGCAGCTAGAGAGTTCTCATTTTGAAGCCTGTAGCTGGCTATTTTGGTAAGTGCCCTTTTAGCTCCAGTCACACAAGCCTAGAGACTAGTCAGTGGCTATCTGGTAACCGTGGTCACTATGGAAACATGTGCATCAACTAACAGATTAGCCAGTGGCTGCAGGAGGTTAAAGGTCCACTGTTAATAGCCCAGATACACAGGCCTAGAAACTAGTCAGTCACTCCCTAGCAACCACTCTCCAACCACGATTGCTTGGAGAGTGGTTGCTAGAGGTTGGCACGCACTAGCATGAAATTGGTCACAAAGCGGTATGGAGGTATACCGTGCGCTACCAGGAACCTCCTTGCAGTTGCTTTGGTCTCTAGCAAGTTGCCGCTGTCACCAGTAGTTTGCATGGAAGACACGTGAACCTTCTCTGTTTCAAGTCTTATTTTAGTTTTACAACAGCAAGCTATGGGGCAACTGCAGCAATCTGCTATCAACAAAAGCAATCACAAGGATGTTGTTGGTACGGTACCCTCTTTGTGACTGAGTTCACCTAGTAACCTCCAGCAAACACTGACCAACATAACCCAGCGGGTGGTTGCCATGGGGTTGCCAGCCAGTATAGGTCTACATAACTGAAGCCTTTTTTTTTTTTCTTTTTATGAAACCACACGTGATGAACAAAGTGTGACTGACAATCACATGGCAGTAAATGGCCAAACACAATTTAGCAAGCACTTCCTGCTTAACTGTGTCTTTTACTCTAAATGAGACTCAGAACAGAATCAATATTTTGGGAAGGGACCAGTAGGGTGATTTCCTCTTTGACTTTTCTACAATCAGACTTCTTTTTGCAACTGCAGAAGCCACCCTCTGCTGGCCATTAGAAAGAAAGCAGGTTTAAATCAATTCTGCGCCTCTTTCACTATTCACTTGACTTTCTTCCTCCCGGAGGCTACATTCAAAGAGAAATTTAGATTGCATTCAGATGAAAGGAATGACCTGATATCAGATTTTTTGTAAGCTCGGTCATCTATAAGGAATTCTCTGTGTTGCATGAGGTGAAAATAAATGCGTAAAAGATTACCCACAGACTCTCTTCATACAGAAGCTTGACGCAGTCTAAATTAGTCATGTGATGTCTCGTGGCTTGACTACTTACCAACAATCTCAAAAACATTTGAGAAAAGGACAATGGACTTTGTAGTTTTGCTTCGATCTGACCAGATGCCAAATAGCGGGCCCGTGACCAGTGCACTCAAACTGAAGGCAGACAGACCGAGACCTAGGAAGTAAGGTGGGGCCTCCAAAATCTGTAGATACCTCCATATTGTAGGAAGAATGACAGCTGAGGCCACCATAGAGGAACAACAGAGAAGGGTTGAGACGTGTGCAGTAATATGCCAAAAACAACCCTGAAATGATATCCAGTTTGATATGAACTTACCGTACTCTATGCCACTCAGCATGAATATCAGTCCAATGGTGAGAAAAGTAAGATTCCTCTTTTGGTGATTATCCATTGTCCTCACTGACTTGCTTCTTTTTACATGCCAACCTCTATCTGCGCATGCTGCTCTGAAAAATTCTTCAGAGCCATAATCAGATAATAAGAGACACCATGCATCCTATTACAGCTGCCGGCCCAGATAATCAGAGGAATCTGTTGCAGCGCTTTACAAGGTCACAGCAAAACTTCTTAGAGATGGACAACAAAGACCATGGGAGGCTTTTCTTACAGAAAAAGCTCAGGACGAACGAAGCCTGGACCACGTCACAGCAAACATGGAAGCAATACAAACAAATATGAAATGATTGCAGTAGTCCAATTCCATTAGGCATTTATGTTAAAGATGAAATTCTGTTTGACTCCCGTCCTCGGTGTAGCACCACGCTGCGAGATCGAGGCAAGTTCTCAGGTTGCCCGGTGAGGTAAAGTACCCTGAGGTTTATACATATTTAAACTTGTTTGCTTCAGTTTCATCAAAAGCACCTCACAACCTTGTGAAAAAATGTGCAAGGCCTATCTGCCCCTTTTGGTTACACAGTAATATGCAAAAGTCTTGAGACACTCCTCATTTCTTTATACTTTTCTTCCAAGGAGGCAGACTAAAGAAGAACATCCAAAGAAGAGCCAGAGCAATAGTTCTCCAGGCCTTCTGAAGGAGTTTCAGAGTTTTTCTTGGACCTGACCATTTTCATAGGAATCTTTTTTGTTGTTGTTGCTTTGCTTTGTTTTTTTTTCTCTGTTAAGCCACTTAACACTGACCCATGAATCATTCAAGCATAATAAAAGCTCCTACACATAACAGACAAAAGGACAATTGTATCTTTAAGGCACTTTCTTACTTGAAGCCTGTTGCAAAAACACTTCAATTTCTGTAGTTAAATCTATGAAAAATGCCAATGATAACATAAAATAGTAGTTTTGGCGCAATAATGTGATTCCCAAAGAGCTATTAGCTGAAAACTCGGTATACCCCGGCTTGGTGTGCAGTTTGTCCTTAAGAATTTTAGGAAACTGCTGAAAAAAATCCAGCAATGACTTGACACAGGACCTGACAGACGCATCTGGTGCTTAAGTTGATCCATCTACTGTTCACTGAAGCCTAATGAGAAATGACAATATGAATGAAATCAATGAAAGGGAAGAAGCCAAAGGAAGAGAAACAGGGACAAAAGGCTCAGGTTATAGTGTAATGCCAGATTACACAATAACTAGACTAAAAATGAGGAGCAACAGATGGAGGGTGAATCCAAATATGAAATACTTGGTTCAAGTATGTACAGAGGTCAGGAAAGAGGTACAACATAGAGTGTGTACAACATGGCGGAAGCTCTGTCATGGTTTTGGGCTCCATTTCGGTCAGTGGTGTTGGAGATCTTGTCCAAATTGATGAACGCAAAAAAGTACCATCAAATTTGGATCCATCATGTAGTACAATCTGGAAAGCTTCTGATAATGTTTTAGCATGACAATGATCCCAAACACACTGCCAATGCAGTAAACGTATCCCTGAATAGAAAAACACACAGTGAAACACTACCAGTCATGAATTGGCCT